CCCTTAGTAACCACGTGAGTGATGAAAGCCAAAGGTACAAGTAATTAAAAACCCAACTAGTATACAGGCTTCAACAAGCAGAGGAGATAGTATTTTTCTCACTATTGCAACCTCCCTTACCAAAGTGAGACCTCGCTCACCACAAATGAGGGAAATGGGAGCTGGGCCCTAGGGCCTGAGAAAGAGTGCTCGGGAAGATGAGGGACCCAAGTGCAACTGCATTAACTGAGAGAGCTCGTTGAGACTTCAGCAGCATGGAAATATACCAAAGGCACAAAGCCAGCCTGTGCCTTATCCCTGACACTGTCCTTTCCCAGTTCTTGGCCTGAGGGCTTGGACCTGGTGAACACTCTGATGCTTTATCATTAGTTAGCAGCTAAATTGGGATGAAAACTTTTTTTAATTAACATAAAATGATAGCAACTAATCCCACTAGTTTCCAAGGAGGTCTGTGGACAAACATCTCAACTATTTCTTCTTGCTCTACTTAAACAAAGCCTCCGTTTAGATGTGTGCCCAAGGGGGCTGAGGGAAGCACACTGTAGTCATTGAGGGTTTCTGGACTAGTTTTATTTGCTGACCACTAACGGGTCCCTGAACTGCTGCTATTTGGAGTCAAATAGTACCGTGGAAGGGCGCCTGAACCCCAGCAGCCTTGGGGCTGTTCAGGGCCACCACTTCCAGGACCCAATTTATAGGACTAATAATTTACATGGTACAATGGAGTCAGTGCTTGGGAAGTGGAGAGGAGAGAGCTAACCTGGAACATCAAAGAAAGTGCAAAAGTCGCCTAACACCACAAGATAACCCAGTAGAGTCAACATTAAGCAATGGGTAAACAAGGGGCAGAGAGTTTTTTTCCAAAGCTAGCATTTTGCAAGTCACTTGGTAGAGATTTTGCTGACAAACTCAGGGAAAGACCCAAATGATAGCATTTCACTTCTGAGAGAAGTAAATTAATGATAACTCCAAGTTGTCTTTATGAACGATAAGGCCCAATGCTTTGTGCTTGCTCAAAGGGATGAAGAAAAACAACAAACTCTAGAACTGATTTAGTGAGAAACCAGTGCCTCTGCACAATTAGTTATTGCTTATTCCTAAGAAATTGCTCCTGAACTCTCCAACCTCCTCCCTCCCTTTCCCCCATATTTGGTCTCTACGTGGAATGACTGCAGACATGATCCAGCTTGATGACCAGCTTTCAAGGTCTCTAGTTTGAACAAATGCTATGCGCTCCACTTGAAGAGATTCTTAAATGGCACTTGGAATTTCAGTATAAGTATGACACCGCAGCTTGCATCTCTCAGAGATTTGGGCTATCAAAAAGAAGGTAGCCCTTGGTCAACATAGGAAAGCACCTCTCTGAGCCAACAAGACCACCATGGTGCTAATTCTACTTATTAATAACAACAGCACCAACACAGGTAGAGCATCCTGCTTTGTGTTAGCCTTCTGTACTACAGAGAAGTGGTGAAGAGGTAAGCTCTGGTGACAAACCTCCTGGTCCCAATGCCAGCCCAGTTCATTTCTAGCTGTCTGACCCTGGCCAAATCATTTAAACTCTCTAGCCTTCAGCTTCTTGACCTATAAAATGGGGGATAAAAGTGGTTATGGGAGGTAAATGAGCTGAGTAATTCAAATAAAACCATAAAGCACAGGCCACACGCACAGCATGTGCTCCATAAAAGGGAGCCGCTGCCATTATCTTCCTTGCTCCATGTTCCTTTTGTCCATTTGGTCTGCCTAGAATGTGTCATATCTGCCAAGGTTTTTCTCTCAGTCTGGGGGGCCAGGTCTCATGATCTCCAACTGACGATCTGGATGGTTCTTCTATCTCACTTTTCAGGGGGAAAGTGGAAATCCAAGTTCCTTATATCTAAGTGAGCTCACACTCTGACATGGATGAGTCTGTCACTTCTATTGGATCCACCCAACCCAATAATCAAGACAATCAGAATATTGATGCAAACTTTAAATATTGAGGCCAGAGGTAATCTCATCTATATTTTTTTAAATCCATGCTTAGCCTTTTTCTATTCAAAAGTGCCCTTTACTTCTCTGAGTAGAGCCTATTTCAATGCTCTCTTTAGTCCTTCCAAGAACAAAAGTCTGCTGCTCAAAGGAGAAGGGCAAAGGGAAGAATTCAGATTTCCTTCAGATTTAAAAGTTGGGGTGATCATGTAAACCCTCATATCCCATTTGATCCTATTATATTTTTCATGGCAGAAGCTCGCAGCGAGGGCTCAAGTGGGATGCAGCAGAAGTTTTAACATTCAAGGGAGCAGTCGAACTTGCCGCGGTCTGTGTGACTGAATGGGAAATTTCCCAGCTCGGGCCTGCTGGGGTAACAGGTCGCTTTGCCTGGACTGGATTTGGGTCAAACAGCAAATCCTCAAATCAGAAAATACCAGCATGTTTTGTTTGGCAAAAAGTTGGGTATTGATCATGATACTCCTACGGGATCAAAGATGCCATCTATTCAACACAAATTAGAGGGTGACCATCTAGCCTCAGCAAAGTTCTGCCACACTCCCTGGACCACAGACCCTTTGCATGGGCCTCATCAAATAGGAGCTAATAAAACCAACTAAGAAAAGATGCCGTTCTTTGCTTCCCATGCCTCTTTTGTTTCTAGGTGTCTGAACAATAATTGACTCCTTAATCCTAACAGGAAGCTCTGGGAAAGCATCCTTGTAGCATTTTCTTCACTCCAGCTCATCTAAATTAGCATGTTTGCATTAAAAATTAATGACAAAAATTAATGGGGCTACATGAGAAGGTCAAGAAGATTTGTATGGGAAGGGTGGGGCTTCGCTGAAGAGCAGGACTCATCCTTTATTTCCCTATGGCCACAGAATCTGGGCAATCTAAGGCATCCAGTCCACAGAGGAATCGGAAACCAACGTTCCTATATGGTGGTGCCTTGAGGGCAAAAAGGGGAAGAAAAAATCCCAGACGTCAGAGACCGTGACAAAGATAACCGCAAGGAATGTAAATAAAATATTATTACAAGCGGCTCACTCACCACCTCACACTCAGCATCTCCCTCCCCCAGAGTGAGAAGTAAAAACATACACAGTGTGTGTTTTAAAGACGTGTCGAGCTGCTCTATGGGAAGAAGCCATGACTACGAAGAAGTTTTTTTTCTCCATGTGGCTCATTTTGATAATCACAAGGCTTGAGACAGTTTTAAGAGCCCCGGGCTGGTTACTAATTTAAATTTGGGGAGCATGAGGTTGAGCCCCATATTGATAAGTACCTTATCACTGATCTTAAGTCAGTGATAAGCCCTGTTTACCTCAGCTTTGGAAGCCCACACCCGGGCCCTCTCAACATGACATCTCAACATGAAACAAATGCATTGCAAACACAAACTGTAGCACCCCAGACGCTTGCCAAATGGACATGTGTACATTTCACAGAAGAGCCAGGAGGACACTTCTAGCAAGCAACGCTCGCCATGAGGAACGCAAGCCAGAGGTCTCTCCTGCCAAGGGTCCCGGGGCACACAGGAGTCCATAAAGGAAACAAATAACTTCAAGGGACAAAATCCACAAAATCTGCCAAAGCACTGACCACCGGGTCATAAGAGCCATCCTATAGAACTGTGCTCTCAGCTCTCTAAGGATGTCCCAGAGCTCGCCACCTCACCTGATGGGGAACCCTCCACCCCCACCCTTCCGTTACCCCTTCTTTCAAACAGAATCCACACCCCCAAACTGAAGGAGGAATTCCAATGCACCATTGGTGTCACTGGTGCCACTGCTGAAATCCATTTACATCACCTTTGGCCAACCATTCAGAACCCAGTGTTGACATTCATTCTCTCACTAAGACAACGAGGGCCTTAGAGGCTGGTCACTCTCCACTCCATTTCGAAAGCTAAAGGTTCCTTTTCTTGGTTAGTCTGTTTGAGACCCTGGGGGGTGGGCCCGATGGCTTCGGTTCTGTTCCTGGGAGCACCACATGTCTCAGGCCAAAGAGGCGTGGACAGGGGCTGTCAGGCATCGCCTCTATCAACCGCAGCGGTGCAAGCAGGTGACTCCTCAGTGTGAGAACTCACAGACTAATTCCTCCCAGCCTCTGAGGAGCAGTCTGCAGCTTTGTCTTTTCATTGAGAAACCTTCCAAGCCAGCCAGGGCGCCTGGCCTTCACTGTCCTCACTCTTCAGACACACTCCAACGGTGCTATATTTTACCACTTAAACGCTTCTTCAAACTTTACTACGGAACAATGTGGCTCTGAGCCTGCCAAAAGTTTAACTGCAGGACTCCGTGCATTTTATCTGGCAGAGCAGCTGCCCTCCCTCTTGAGAATATGTTCGGGCAAAAGGAAGTCATCAAACCTCAAGTCGGGGCTGTTCTGGGGTCCCCAGGGTCCCCTCTGACAACGCAGCTCCCTCTCACTGTGACCTCTTTCCTGATTCCAGAGCTTCAGGATCCAAACAAACGGGGTCTCAGTAGACAGCTGTGGAAAACTTTGATGGGATGACCCAGGACATAATTATTCCTGGCTGGACTTAAACTTCTGATTTTCAAATATCTGGGGGAGCTGAGGTTCAGGGGAGATGAAGGGAGAGCGCCAACGAATGAGGAAGAAAAAGGAATAAGTAGCATACCATGACCAAGCCAAACCGAGCTTGATATTTCCAAATTATTGGCAAATGGATGCTTTGACAAATCATTTGTCCTGTCTTTCCTGGAGACAAAAAGAAGAAAAGATGCAAAAAGCCTAACCCCAGACCAGTGGAATACTAAATTGCTGGTCAGAAAGTCCAACCTTATCTATTCCAACAAGCACCCTCAAGCCGAAAGTTGTGATACCTTGCTCAGTGTATTGCCCCCTCGCTCCTGCCTGGCACTAGGTTAAGCCCATGGTATTATGCATCTTACATGATATTTTGGACAAATCCCTGCAAGTGGGCAAAGGCTCCAGCTCGGCTCCTCCGGCCCGCCACCTCCTCCTCCAGGCTGGCCCCTGGCTGCCCCGGTGCCACTTACCTGCAGGCGCTCTGTGGCCGGCTGCCACATCTTCCAGCCGTGGGGTTTGGCAGAGGAGACGCCGGCGAGACTCAGTTGATGCGCTTGGGGGCGAGGGGCTGCGGGTCCGCTTTACATCTGGGGTCGGTGTCCCAGGGATGTGCGTCCCGGAGCCGGCCACGGCCGCGGGGTGGGCGAAGGGGGCTTGGAGCAGGAGGAGGCGGCACTGGGCTCAGCTGCCGGCAACTTGTGGGCACGGCTGCGCCGGCTGTCCTGGCGCAGCAGCGAGAAGACTGCGCAGCTCCGCCCGGGCCGCGAGCGCACAGCGGCGGCGGCAACCGCTCCCTCCCCCTCCCCCGCCGCCACCGAGCCTCGGAGCTGCGCGCTCTGAGCATGCCCAGGCCCGCGCCCGCCTGACAGCCGCGGGGGTCTGGGAGCACAGGGCTATGGCCCGCAGATCCCGGGGAGGGGGCAGAGGGGAGGCCGGAGCTGCGGGCCCTGCTCCCCGTGGACTGTGGAGGGAAGGACCTAGAGAGCATGCCTTCCTGGAGAAAGAAACCGGAGCCCCCTGGGCTCCCAAGCTTCAAGCAGCAGGGATCTCTGAGCCGCCTGGGACTAGCCTGGCACTGTGCTGGGAGGCAAACTTCCATTCATCCAACTTGAGTTAACTGAGCACCTATTATGCTCCAGGCTCTAAGCTGGGGTCTGAGGACAGGGTCACACAGAATAGAAGACAGTGTTCCTGGTCCCCTGAACTTCCATTCTGCTTGAGGAGGCAGTCCACCAGTCCCCCCAGAAAACCTGCGAGCCAGTGTTAGGCCGGGTGGTGATGAAAGCTGGAAGAGAAGAAAACAGACTGATGTGGGAAGAAAGGGAGGGGAGAGCTGGTTCCATGGGGCCCTGGGGAAGACTTAGTGAGGGGTGACGTGCCCCCCCAAGACTGGATGAGGAGGACAACGCAAGATCCTCCATTCTTCATCACTGAGATCTGCCAACTGCTGCAGGGGGCTCTGGAAACCCCAGATAAACCAGGGGTCACGCTGAGCTCCCAGGAGAATAACTGCCTTTCCTAAAATGGCCAGGCTCTTCACATCCTCTCCACAACTGGGCAAGATAAGCATTAATATTCCCGCCTACAGATAGAACAAATCAGGCTTGCGGAGTTTAGGTCGCTGTCCAGGTCACACTGCGAGTGGTTTACAGCGCACACTCAGATGACTTCCAGCCAGAGCTCTTGCCATGCAGCTCCAGCTGCTCTGCCCGTGGAAACACCTGGATAAAGAGCAGCCACCTGGGGCTGGGGGAGGAGGAACTTGGCGGGATGGGGTGCCCAGCTGCTCCTGGGGGGCTGACAAAGGAGAAGATGGTGGGACAGAAGTTGAAGGGAAGGAGAACACAGTGTATGGGGGTGTGGGGCTCAAGGCTCTCGAGAGGGGTCCTGAGCCTCAGGGCTGGCAGGAAAAGGGTCCTGATGAGACACCACAGTGGGACAGGAGCACAGCCTGTGCGCTGTCAAAAATCACACCCCACGTCCAGAAGGCTCTGTGCATTATCGTGTGTACACAGAGAGATAGCAGAGCCAGAGCACTCCAGAACCCAGCACTCAGCTCATCAGATCTTCCCAGCAGCAAACTGACTGGTTGGGGAGGGAAGGACCTAGAGGGACAGAAACCCGTATCTCCCAACACTGTGCAGCACAAGATCCATGGGGTGGCCCAGAGCGAGTCACCAGTAGTGCTTCAGATCCAGACCCCCCCCCCCCCCCCCGCAAGGTGCTCCTTTCCAGGGCCCCAGGCAGCTCCTTCAGGACCACACAGTTGTTGGTTGGTGCCACCCACCCAGGCAGGGCCAGGACCCTCAGTGCCCTAGGAGCCCCTCTGGCAAAGGGATGCCACAGAGATGCTTCTGAGAGGCTGGTCTCCATCTTCCCAGGTGGCCACAGGAGTCCTCTGCTTCACTCACACCCGTCCAACTCCCCTAAACACCCCCAACTCCCCCTCCCGCCTGCAGAACAAGGACTTACTTTCTCAGCTCCTTCCCCAGTCCCTGCCACTTGCACTGGACCCATCAATTAACCCCTTGTGATGAGGTGTTGGTGTGTCCCCCTGCATGGACACACATCTCAGACGCTTCTTTTGAGACGGTATTTTTACTTCTCCTATAACTCATCCGTCCTGCACACCTCCTACACCTGAAAAATTTCTCATGGAAATAATAGACCTTCCCAACCTCCTAGTTCTCTTTCATCAAATCCCCAAACAGAAAGAGATGCCCTTCATGATGAGAATCTAGTAAATCCAAATGTGCATATTAAAACATTCAGTAAGCTAAAACAGGAATATTTGGTTGCCAGGGACATCTTTAAACTTGAGCTTTGAAACCTTCCTTAGTTGCAGATGCCTCCATGGAAAAATGATTTTGTTTTAAATAGCAATGGGGTGAGATAACGGGCCTAAATTCACATCCCATTAGAGCGTTAAATCCTGTCTTCTCACCTCCGAGTGTAATTAATTGTGATGACTCAGTAATACAGCTTTTAGTTCAGAGTATGGTACTATTTAAAGAGCACTGTCTTGGGCTCTGTAGAGATTGCTTTCCCTTCCCAGTCCCATGGCAAATCGATTTGGTAACGTAGGGAATGTGTTTAAACTCAAATGATACTGTTGTTTCAATTACCTTTATGCCACGGATCAGGAAACTGGGGGAGGGAGTGAGAGTGAAGGTGGAGGCTGGTGGAAAGTGACAAAAGGGATGGAACAACCTTCCAGCCATCAGTTTTGCTCCCAAGCTTTCCCATTCAGGAGGAACCTACCCTAGAGGGTGAATGAAATAGAGACATCTACTGGCTAGAGGCAGGACATGCATGCTGATCTCTCCCGGCTGTGTTCTGGGACATCACCTCCTGGTGAGTCTGAAGGTACTGCTTTACAGCATAAACCTATTTGTTCTGAGAAAGACTCATTCTTGGAAAATGCAGGAAGTGTTTGGATGCAATGAGTAGAAATGTTCTGCACATAAATGGGTGCCTAATTTCATGCCCTTAACCCCCCATAATCATCTAAATAGGTCTAATCTTAATAGCATTTCAAGGAAATGACAAAAAAAAAAAAAAAAAAGAGTGACAAGGCCCATATGAATTATTAAAATAATGTTTTGTCCAGGGGGATAATTACAACCATCTCTAGAAATTTTTTTTTAAAACCAGATTAAATCTCGGCCATGTTTCTGGGCCCTAAAGTAAGAAACCTAGATGTCTAAATCAGGAGAAAGGTGAAATACATTGTGGTCCAACACATCAAACAAATATGAACTCGTATGTAGCTATTAAGGAGGATAATTATGAAGCTGTGTTGCAGCTGAAAATACTCCCGGTATAATTATAGATTTCTTAAGTAGACTAAAATATGCATAATTTGAATATATGTATAAAATATGTATCAATCTCAGTAAAAATCAGAAAGGAGCTAGACAATGGGGAGTGACTCAGGTGGAGTCCCAGCATTTGAATTATCTGAGTGATTGCTCTTAGCAAGTCATCTGCCTCGTGGGACCTCTGATTTTTCATCTGTAAAAAGGGTAATATTATTATTAACATTTAGAATTATTAGGAGTCGTGATGGAGTGAATGTATGCAACAGGCCTGGCACATAGTAGGTGTGCAGAAAACATTAGTTTTCATCCTGTTACTTTCCTCCCCCCTTTTGATTATTGAAATTATCAGTCTCACAAAGTTGCCCATGCTTCTTGTGATTAAGTAATTTCCATTTGGAATATTTGCGGATTTCACAAATTACCTGCTTTAGTTTCTTAAACAAAAGTGATGAGCCATATTTAAGTTCATTTACCTTTCTAATGTAATCAGATGGCCAGCAACATTTATTATGGTTGCATATTTAGCAGAGCAAGCATGGGAATGTCCTTATGGTATCATTCACTTTATTTCAAAATCACCAAAACAGCTGTAGATGAGCACTATAGAAAAACTTGTGACTGCAATAAACCATTTACAGCTTTCTATAGTGATAGAGCCACTGGCTCTTGTCCATCCCAAGTGATAGGTGTTTATGAGGGTGCTGACATAACCCTTTTCCTCCCTTAAAAGGAAATCTTCACAGTTCACCTGCAAACTTGGTTAAAGGCAAAGAGCACAAGACTGGTTAACGCCCAGGATGCACGTTGCAGTTCTTCTATTTTAAACTTCCTTATACCTTCACCCACCTTGGAAACGTGGTAGGTTAATTTCCAAGATGGCCACAAACATCCCCCTCCCCCAGAAGTCCTGCCCTTGCCTATTTCTCTCATCATGAGGTGAAATTTATCTGCACCCTTTGAATCTGTGCGGACCTTGGTTTGTAAATGGGCTCCCCATACACAGTGGTCACAGAGAGGAGGAAGAAACAGGCTGACCACTCCAGATTGGTAGGTGGCAGGTGTAACAAACATGGGAACTTAACTGCCAAGACAAGTAGATCTCTGCACCCACCTGCCAGAACCTTCAAAGTTTATATAGAGGCCTTACTGGGGTTCAGTCACACACTCAGACCAGACAGTCTCAACAACACACTGCTCTCTGAAGGCTGCATCCTTGAAAACACTCCCTCCGTGGGGGCAGTGTACATTCCATGGCATGTTAGGTAGTGGTAGATACCTGATCCATTCAACATCACTAAGTATTAGTCTTTCCTGCTAAACTTCATATCCTTTTCAATATTCCCAAACGACTAATGTATCAGAGTCGGCACTAAATGAAGCCTCACAGGTGAGCCTAAAGACATAGTTCTCTTTTTGTTTGTTTTACCCTTGCTTCCCACTTCCCTCCTGCCCACCTCTGTCCTCGTCTCAGATTGTGGACCATGCTTCCCACTCATGCCGGCTACGTTTTCTAGTAAGTCCTTCTGAAAGGAAGATGGGCACTGGATAGTGCTTCAGGTATATAATGATCGAGGTGGCTGTCTCTCTAGCACAATCAGCAGTGAGCGGGAAGGTACTTCCTCTGTCACAGCCCTTCTCATTCTCTCTGGGGCACTGTGTGAACGGCATTCTGCCATCCTTCCGCAGGGATGAATGCAGCTCCATTCCAGCGAGAGCCTGGAGAAGTGAGACCAGATACAGGGTGATGATGGGATCTGCCTTCCCCACATTTAGTAGAGACAGGGGCAACAATGTTCTTGGCAAACTGGTTTCTAAGGGTCCTTATCACCCTCTATCATGGCCCTGACTATATGGTTAGCAACATGAGCCCAAATGCATTTTCACTGGGGCCTTACAGTCTCTTCCCACCCACCTCCTCATTTCTCCATTTGAGCTGATTGCACACAAAACCTTCTCTCTGGGCACTGCCTTGCCCAAGGTTATGCTCCCTCCC